CTAAGTCGGAAGCTAGACGAAACTGCCCTGGTCTTGATGTGGTTCACGCTCCCCCCACCCCTTTTGTGTTATGGTATCATTTTCTAAAAAAAAATAAAGTATAGTTAACACACAATGTTACATTAGTTTCAGGTGTACCCGTAGTGATGAGACAAGCCTCTATGTCATGCTCAGCTCACCACAAGTACAGCTCCCACTGTCACTAGACACTGCTATTCTAACACCACTGACTCTATTTCCTATCCGGTGCCTTTCATCCCCATGACTAATTAATTCCGTAACTGGAACCCTGTGCCTCTCATTCTCTTCGTCCACTTTGTCCATCCCCCACCCTCCCTACCCACTGGCAACACCAGTTTGTTCTGTGTATTTATGGGTCCATTTCTGCAGAAAGGTTTGTGCTTTTTTGACTTCAGAGCAGAGTTGTGGAAGTTATAAACCAGGAAAAAAAATATGTGGAATTTTTCAAGGTTATTTAATCCAGTTCCCTTCCTTTAGGCAGATGAACTCCCAAGGCAATAAGAAAGAACTTTATAGTTGTTGATTCTATTTTAAAGTACTCTAGAGAAGGAGATTCCAGATCATTCCCTCATATCCTTTTTCCAGCTTTTATTAGCCTCATAGGATGTTTACATACAAATGAATCCAGACACTACCAATCTATTCAAAATAGTTCTGCAAAATCCAGCAGTAATATTTCTTTCAGTATACTGATGATGTAAAATTTTTTTTCTTCTCAATACATTTCCTTTAATACATCCGCCACTGAAATACTTTCCATTTTGTCTCTTCTCGTATTTGTATACATGTTGATAAGTTACTCTTTCTTCTTTTCCTCTGACCTTACAATCACAGAGTATAACCAATTTATAATGCTGGTTTGTAATATTTAACATTAAACCTACTTTATATGTTTTAATGTTTTACGATGAAAGAAATATACCCCATGTCTAGTTGAGTAAGAATAGAATCACAGATTTGTAAGCATCAAATGAGATGTTAATGTAATAGATTCCATATTCTTACAACATTTCTGTTTGGGAAACTTCAAGACAAGGAACTTAATATGTCATAATGCAGCCCATACAACTTTCTGGCAGACTTAATCTACTGTTATACAATATTTATCCTTATATAATGCTGAAATTGTACCACTATTTTCTTTGAAAATAATTTTGGGGGTTTGCATTATTTCCTATTAATTTTCATCTTGCTAGATTTTGTCTATCATTCTAATGTGCTAAGAAAAACTGGATATTAATATTATTCTGGAGTATTTACTATCACAGCTAGCTTTGTGTCATGCTGTCTATATCCTTATTCATCCATTCATCAACATAGAAAATACCCAATGCTACAAACGGAAATCTATACACTATTTAACAAACCCATGGAGAAAATGACCATACAAGAAAGATGTCATATCTATGATTATTATAGTATTTCTGTGATGTGAAAATATAGTTTATCAATGAAAAACAAATTAAAGCTAGATTGGCCTTTAATCTTTAGAGTTTATGCTAACACTAGTGATCACTTGTCCTACTTAAAAGTCCTCACAAAAATCACTTTTCCACATTGCAAGTCATTTGGAACAGTAGGTAGAGGAAGTGGTCATCTGCAGGTGATTTCATGGATGTTGAATGTTTCCTAATACTTATTTTCACAAGGGACTTTGATATCTAAAATAATGCAATCATAGACCTCTCCTTTGGGAACTGGTTCTGTTAGAATACAAATATTCTTAGAATTAACATATTAATTAACTCATATCAATAGCATACCTTCTCATCAATGAACTTTCAGATGTTTTCTTGAGCATGATTTTGGTGAAAGAGTAAAAGAGATACTTTTTACTCTGACAAAGAATTAAGTGAAGGTTGGAGAAAAAGAATAGATCAAAGGGGAGGGCTGGGGGTCAGTATGAATTTTCTCTTTTTGTTTTCTTCTTTCCTCACTCCATTCCCATAAGCCCATTCCTAGCCAGACTTGCTGGAACCATCTAACCTGAAACTGTAATTAAGCATCTTATTTCTTTTCTCCATATCAGTGTATTGAACATAGCCCACCACCTAAGGTGCCTCTCCATTCATAATGGGACAAATGCACAAAAACTTCAAAGCTTACATTCCAAGCTTCTTCATTCATCACTTCTTCCCCTCTTTCAGTGTGGCCCATTTCATTTCATTCACATTAAGTCTCTCATCTGGTGTGGTAGTTAATTTATGTGTCAGCTTGACTGGGCCCCAGACTGACTAGATATTTGCTCAAATATTATTTTGGGTATGTCTGTGAGGGTGTTTTGGATGATAAACAATTGAATTGGTCTACTGAGTAAAGCAGATTGCTCTCCCTAATGTGGGTGGACCTCATCCAATCAGTTGAAGGCCTGAATAGAACAAAAAGGCTCACCATCCTTGGGTAACAGGGAACTCCTGATTGATGGTCTTTGAGCTAGAATACTGATTGTTTGTTTGTTTTCTTGCCCTCAGATTTGGATTGAAACATTGGCTCTTCCTGAGTCTTGATATTGGCAGCTTTTAGACTGGAACTACACCATCAGCTCTCCTGATTCCCAGGCCTAAGGTAAGTCCTTAGGACTTGTACTAGAACTAGATCATTGGTTCTTCTGGGTCTGCAGCTTGCCAACTGCAGATCTTGAGACCTGTCAACCTACATAATCCATGAGCAAGTTCTTTATAATAAATCTCTCTATCTCCCTCCCATCCCTCACCCTCCTGGTTCTGTTTCTCTGGAGAACACTGACTTGTACTTCTGCCTACACAGGTCTGGAATTAATCCCCATTTTAATGGATACCACCACCAGATGCTGCCTGTCTCCCTAGAGAGCCGACGAGTAGCATCTCCCTAGATTGCTTATGGGTGTACACTATCCATGTTTTAGGCAACATCGTTCCTTAATTTCACATCTTTGTGGGCCACTATTTGCCAGGTACAGGCTTCATATTACCATACTTCATGATGTCCTATCCACACTATTAACCATTTCTAGCATTGCTCTTTCTGCTGTGTCTATCCAGGTCTCTCTTCTTTATTCATGTATCATATTTTGAGTTCACCATCAATTCACAATGATAAAGCAAGCACAGTTGTGAATGGATACAAGAAGCCTCCTGAAACATCCCTCTTCCACTGTTCCATTCCTCCTGTAATTAAAATCGATCTGTATGACATTGATAATGTTTTTAAGCAAGGTTTACAGTAGTTAGTGTTGTTTTGTGAGTTCACAAGTTTGGTAGAAATACTAGATGCCAATGTCATCTTATGATGATTTTATTTAAAGAACCAACTATGAGTCCCTGAACCACCCTTTATGAGGGGAATGGTACTGAATTCAAAATTAAAAAAAAAAAAGTTTTAAATCCATCTCTTTAATGACAAGTAGACAGGTATTCAGATAATTTATAGCAACAACAATCAGATCTGGGGTAAAGAGTTTTAGGGGAGGCAATCATCAGTGTTCTGATGCTTATCCACTTCCCCTTAGGAAATGGTAGAGCAGATTTGGGGTCAAGAGTGTAGCCGTGGAATGAAAAAGGTATGAAAAAATGACCCTTGCCTTTGTGGAGATCAAAATCTCAACTAGTGGGGAAAGGGGTAAACAGAAAGATTTTTCACATTTGCTTTCATTAACATTTACATGCACACCTCAATTTCCAAAAAAATACTTACAGAATATCCTGATATCTTTTAAGTGTCAATGAGTTTGAATTATACACAAAACATTGGAATATCTCAGATTTATGTCCATAAGGGATACCTTTGAGGCATGCTGAAGATTATTTAGCTCAACTAGCTTGTTTTACAGAAGAGCAAGCAAGCTCTGAGAAATGGTTTCTTGTAAAAGATCATAGAGCGTTCAAGCTCTTCGCTAGAATAGTGCCACGCCACACAACATACCTTGTTTAAATTTTGTTTTGTTTTCAATAACTATGCCATTTGAGGGAAAGGTTTTTTGATTATTCATATTTATTCATACTTAAAGCATTTTAACCCCCACTCCCCTAAACCTTTAATCCATTTTGCAAGTTTTCATTTTTTACACAATGTAGGTTTTTATTTGACTTCTTCAGGAATTTAAAATACCATAGAAAAATTATCTAAATAATTCATTTTAAACACACCTTCACCACAGACAACTGAGCTGTCATTTTGTTTAATGCATGAATCTTTTTCTCTGAGTATGAAAATTTGTTACATTAAACAAAGTGGGCATAGCATACTACCCGCTACTTCATATTTTTGAGGCACACTAAGATGTAAAAGAGGAGATGCTTTTGTAAAACCTCAGAAATGGAACATTTATGGGAGAAAAATCAGAAAGCTGAAATAATTTCAACATTATCTAATTATACCATATCCCTACCTTGATATACTTTTACACACATAAAAGGAAATAAAACTGTAAAACTTTGACAGATAAAGGGACACAATTAAAGAAAAAAGGGTCAAATTTTCCATTTTGATTCCAAATAAAATTAGTGGAGATTTTTAAAATAGGCCTCAGAGGGCCCTGGTATACAAAGATAATACCTAGTTACATATTTTCAATGTGATTTTACATGGTGATTATTTTTAGAGACTGAATTGTATGCCTACTGAGATCTTGAGCCAGAAGCAAACTCAACTTATGGACAAAATATGCATTCACTGATGACATTGTGAATATTAATTTTGGGCTAGAGAGCTGCATATTATGTCTTTACTACAATTCAAGAATAGAAGTCAGCACTGAGATGTTATATTACATTTAGTTGTTAAATTCAACATACGCTTCTTAACAAATCTGTGTTTTTCTTGATTGAAGATCATAAAAATTAAAAATCAAATTGGAATAACTTGGAGATGTAGTCTAATTTCCTTCTAGTAGGGCTAGTATTTACCAACTATTCTTGTGAAAGGATCGGCAATAGAAACAAAACGAAACATGTATTTGAACATTCTCACGTTATTATAAAAAGCATAAATAGAATACATACCGGGTTTAGAAGGATCGTGAGGAAAAGTTCACCTCCTCTGATACTTTTATCCAATTCTTGGGGTCCTCCTGGATATTCTTTGTAGAAAATAGTGTGGGTGAACAATCCGCAGGTCTGTCGAGGGAGGACCTGAGGAAAAGGGGGGAAAGCAGCATATGCATTACTTAATTAAGAGCTCCCCCACTGTCTCATGACCTCAGAGTCTGCAAATTATCATTTCCTATTGGAGTTTCTCCTTGGCTGCTAAAGTCAAATCTTACTGAAATCAAGACCCGGTGTTGGTGTAAGTACGTAAATACTAAGGAGTTGCCAAATCAAAGCTATAGGACATATAGGCTAAAGCATTTTCACGAAGTGCTATAAATCTCACCCACCAGCTGAGTTATGTTAAAGGACTGCCAAAAAATAAAAGTCTTCTTAGGATTAATTTAATTTAAATGTAGAGATTCTCCAAAGTTACATTTTTCATGGTATCGGGCCATTACTCTGCTTGCTTCTGAAATACAATCTTTCATGGTACTCAGTTTCTAAGATTCAAAACTTTCATCACTTCTTCCACTTTTATAAATTTTGTTTTTACTACACTCTGATTTTAAATTTTAGTCACAGTAGTAGTCAAACCATCTAATGACTGCTTCTGGTACATTCTGTGGTTAATTCTGTTATAAATTTGAATGTTCAACAGAGGAAGCAAATGGGGAATTTTATTCCAAAAGTTGATTTTGAATAGTAAACTGTTTATAATCTAATGGAAAAATGCATCCAATTGAACAGAGTATAATTTTATCTATTCTTTGCTTTATGTCTATAATAGTTGTATTAAATTCAAACTAAGTGGATGCATGTAATATTGGTTAAAATGAATGTTTTATTTTATAATAGTCAAATGTTCATGTAACTCAATAAAGGGAAATGGTATTTTCACTCTAATTCAAAATTATATAAGAGCAATTCTTTCCATACCTCCTGGATTTTTACGAATGTCAATACCATTATTTGCATAATGAGTAGCTCCATTTAAATCTGAGGCTTTTTTTTTTTAAAGATTTTTTATTTATTTATTTGAGAGAGAGAGAATGAGAGACAGAGAGCATGAGAGGGAGGAGGGTCAGAGGGAGAAGCAGACTCCCTGCCGAGCA